CTCGGTGCTACTGGACCAACCCGGCAGCACCCCAGCTGCTCTGCCCCAGGCGTCCTGATTCAGTCCCCAAGTTGCTCTGCCCCGGGCTTCCTGGAATCAGCCGCTGATCAGTTTCAGTAGCAGCTGACTTGGGGACACCTGAGGTAGAGCAGCTGGGGTTTTGCCAGGTTGGTCCCCACAGCGCCAAGGTGCGGTGCTGCAGGGACCTACCCGGCAGCGCCCCAGCTGCTCTGTCCCAGGCATCCAGATTCAGCTGCTGTTGAAACTGATAAGCGGCAGATTCCAGGAAGCCCGGGGCAGAGAAACTCTGCCTCAGGCTTCCTGTAGTCAGCTGCTGGTCAGTTTCAACAGCGGCTGAATCTGGACGCCAGTTCCGACTTACGTAGAAATTCAACTTAAGAACAAACCTGCAGTCCCTATCTTGTACGTAACCCGGAGACTGCCTGTAGTCCTTTTCACATCATTTTTGACCTATCATATATTTTCTTGAGTCGTGGAGGGGGAGGAAGTGCACTTCAAAAGCATGCAGAGCTGACCTAATTCTGCTCCCAGGGCATTCAGTGGAAGTATTACCATTGACTTTAATGGCAGATAGGATAGGCCAACACAGAAGATTATTGACAATCCCTTGTCCTTTGTCTGTTTTCTCCTTCGAATATATACACACATCATGGGTGCAGCCATGCTTCCTTATTGAGGGAGAGCCTGGTTCTGATCTCACCGACATCAGTGTAAATCCAGAGAGACCCTAGTGGAGCTACACTAGTGTGAGACCAGTGTATGTTAAAAGGAAACGAGATCTGCAGAGTCTAGGGAGATAATTGGATACATTTACTTTCACACACGGGCTTCAAGCTAGCAAGGAAGTCCTCATGGGAGAGATCCCTACACAAAGACGAGGGCCTGTTCACTTCAGGCTTCATTTAGACAGCAGGATCTTCACCTATATGGAACTATTTCAGGATCAGAGGTGGGATTTTTCAGAAGCATCTAGATATGTTAGGAACCCAGTTCCCACTGAGTTTCATTCACTTGGCAATTCTGAAAATCCTACCTCAGGGTCTTGCATGGCATTTACAATGTAAAAAACAATGAGGAGTCCTGGGGCACCAAAGGCTAACAAATATATTAGCTGCCTGACAAAGTGGGTTCCAGCCCACAAAAACTTATGCCAAAATAAATGTATTAGTTTTTAAGGTGCCACGGGACTTCTTGTTGTTTTTGCTAGAACAGACTAAGACAGCTTCCCCTCTCAAAATTGACAATGTAGATGCTCCAAGAAACAGAAGAGCACATGACTTTGATAGAACAGACTCAGACAGCTTCCCCTCTCAAAACTGACAATGTAGATGCCCCAAGAAACAGAAGAGCACATGACTTTGATTTGAAGGATTTCAGTTACATACACCGGCACTTAGGATTAGATATAATTCTATCCTGTTTCAAGCTATTTAAAGGGACAACTTTAAAACCATATTAATATTTTAAACCTATTATTAGGTATAATAAAAAGAGAATTTCCTTTATTTTCCCCCCTTTTTTTTTTGCTTGGTGCACACATTTACCCATGTTCTGCATATTGCCAGCTTAACTCTAGCCTGAACAGTCAGTCAAATCCCCAGCCCTGCAAATTAATGCAGCAGCTCAGGTCCCTGCATTCATGTGGAGTTTTGCATAGTTAATGCATCTATTTGCATAACAGGCGCCTCACTCCATTTCCTTGATTTGCAAGGATGCCTTTTTCCATCTTTCATTTCTTTAACACAGCAGAGAGAAGAGGAAAATCTATTTACAAAATTAGGATAATGCAACGTAAAGTAGGCAGGGGCACTCCATAACAGATGGTATACCTGGAAATACATGCATTTTGTTTTGGTAAAAAAAAAATTGATTCACATAAATTGAGAGTGTCCCTCAAAACAGGCACAGTGGTCTAGTCCCATAAAGCCCCATGGTGGAATTTCAAAATCATCCCACTCTTGGCATGGCATGACAGTGGGGAAAAAAGGCATAAACATACATTTGGCACATATCAGAATTCTAGGGTCAGTGAAATATTTCCTTTCAACTGTGTTTATTCATCATTTGTGAGACAACAGAAGAGAATATGAATAGTTTAGCCCAAATGAGAGTGGGGGCTGCAGCAATTTCTGGCACAGTGTCAGTGAAATGAAAGTAAGTCAACCCATCTGTTTTATGTTGTGGTATGGCCCTCATATCTGCCAGTCCACCCCAGTTCCTGATAGCTTGGTGTCACACCACAGCTGGAAAGCAGGGATATGACATGCTTTTTTGTTGCCAACATACATGCAAAATTCACAGGACTTATCAAGATCTTTGGCATGTGAGAAAGAGGTGAGATTTTTGGAGAACAGGTTATTTGATGATCCATTGTGGAATTGAAGTTTGAATTATCTGCTGATCTTCCAGCACCAAGCCATATCTAACAGTTAGAAGAAGGCACCGTAACCCAAAAGCACATGCTTAAGTCTAAGGGGAAGCTAATGTTTGAATGCTGGTATTTTATGCATATGTCTGTCTAGAGATCCCATTCACCATGAGAGCTGTCCATTGCCACATTCAATTCAGAGTGATTTCTGCCTCCCTTTAATGCATGCAGAAATCCACATACAACTAGCAAATCCCGCCGTGGATTTCCTTTGGAATTAAAGTGATTCCTCACAAGCAGACCGGGGCTTGCTTCAGAAATCACCATGTGGGAAGGGTAGTCTTCCAAACAGTCTCATAGGCTAATAACAGATTTCCCCAAGTTGTCTAATTGATAAGGCCTGTAAAGAACCCAATAAAACTTTCTCCATCTTCATATGGGTTATAGAAAGACGGGGCTTGAAATATCTGCTTTCCTTGCACTACGAACAGGTTACACAGGGAAGTTGGCTTAACTACAGAGTTCATAGTAGTGACAAATTTCAAGCCCTGTGTGATGTAATTAAATTGATCTCAGCCCTGAGGCAGACACCACTAGGTCAAAAGGAAGACTTCTTCCATTATCCTAGCAAGCATCTCTTGAAGACCCTGAAAAGTTTCGAATGGGGGTGTGCACCCCTTTGGAAGCCTTAGGAATAGTCTGTGGATCCCCAGATATTACAGCACTGGAGGAATCCCTTTTGTCACTATAGGAAGCATCTACATGGCAGGCCAGCTGTAGAGATACTCACTGTAGCATTTTTAGTGTTGACGTTCCCTCTGTGGTTTCACCTGTATTTTCCTTAGAGATTTTGAGTTCATTACAGTTTGAACCCAAGCAAAATGCCACATCTCTGAAAAAAGGTTTCAGAGAGTTTTATGCTTATTGTAGGTCAAAGGCTCCAGATCAAATTTACTCTGCGTGTCTGGTGACAAGGAAAAGATGATGTTTCTGTAGAGAGCCCTGAAAATTCACTTTGGGTTCTGAGAGACAAGCTGTGCTGTTTCTTGCTTGTCTTTCTTTAGATATAAAAAAAACGTTTCCTGCAAGACGACAGAGTGACCTCGTGTGTCAAACTGCGTCCTGCAGCCCCTCCCTCCACCCTTTTCCTGCAAGACGACAGAGTGACCTTGTGTGTCAAACTGCATCCTGCAGCCCCTCCCTTCACCCTCCTCTGTGCTCAGGGGAGATGTGAGCCATGCGGCCTTCCTCCTCCCCTGTGCTCAGAGGCCAAGCGAGAGATGGCTGAGCCTGGCTGTGCATGGCTTCAGCTTGGGCCAACCGGGGGAAAAGCTGGGCCTAGCACAGCGTGGGCCCAGCCCCTCCTGGCAACTGGGGGAAAGCCAGACCTGGCGTGACTTGGGCCCAGCCCCCCCCACAGAGACCGGGGGAAAGCCAGGTGTAGCATGCCCCCCTGGAGGCTAGGAGTAGGATTGCCAGACGGTTGAAACAAAAATACCAAACACTGCCCCGCCCCCCAAAAAAACGGGAAAAAATTTGTTGAAGGGGGAAAAAAGAGGGGGGGGGAGACCAAAGTTGTTGAGCAAAAAAAGAAAAAGGACTCCAAGGACTTAAGCCCCCCCACCAAAATTAAAATAAAACAGCATGTCCCCTTTAAGAGTGAGTGCAGGGATAGAAACAGTGGAGCGGTTGAGCACAAAGACCCAGGGGAAAGCATTGCTTCCCCTAGGTCTTTTGGCTGGCAGCCATTTTGTGCCAGCAGCCTTGGGGAACCAGGTAAACACGGGGGCTGGGATCGGGGAGTGGGACTCGGAGGGGAAGGGGGCGAGGCCGGGTGCTGAGTGTTTCTGGGTTGCCTGGTGCCCGGCATTTTCGCCTCCTGGCCGGGGAAAAATTCAGAAAATCCCAAACATTTCAGGTGTCCGGTATTCTCTGAATTTTTTACCAGACAGGAGGCAAAAATACCAGACTGTCCGGGTGAATACCCGACACCTGGCAACCCTCGCTGGGAAGAAAGCCGGGCCTGGCATGGCTTGCGCCCAGCGTGGTTAGAGCCTGGACCCTCCCTGCCCCAGAGGCCAGGAGGAAAGCCAGGGCCAGCACAGCTTAGGCCCAGCCCCTCCTGGCAACCAGGGGGAAAGCCGGGCCCATCCCGGTGACTGTGGGGGGAAGCCTGGCCCAGTGCGGCTTTGGCCTGGCAGTCGGGGAGAGTCGTGTGCTACCTCACTCCACTCCCCCTCCCCTGGCGGTCAGGAGGGATTCAAGGGCAGGGGGCAAAAGCAGCCAAGAGCCAGGGTGGCCTCAGGGCTGGGATGGTATCGGGGCCTCCTTGGGGATGGGGGGGCCCTCCCTGGGGTTGCGGTGACCCTCAGACTCTCCCTAGCAGTGAAGGGGGAGGGCAGAGCCCTGGCTTGGCCCCTCCAGCAGCTGGTGGGAGAGTTGGGCCCAGCATGGCCTCGGCCCGGTCTCTCCCAGGGGCTAGGGGGAACGAAGAGCCAGGGCCGGGTG